GAACATTGTAACGCGCCAACATGTCAAAGTAATATCGCCAAACTCTGCACTTCTGAAGTTTTGATAAAAAGATGCTCAAATCTTAAAATTTATAAGTAATTTAGATAGAAATTATGTGCATTAAAAGTAAATACATTTATTCTTATCTAACCATTAGTTATTTCATCACCTTGTTCTCTTTACAATGAGATAAACATAACTTTATATGCACGCAAGTAAGTGATAATAAGGATAAATTCTAATAACTAACAACTATCCAAATTTTCAGCCATAATTTTAACATTTACTGTAACTGTGAAGTTTCTTATTGAAAAAAAGTAAGTAATGAACTTATTACATGCATTTATTAATACAGAACATAATTTTTTTGAGTCAGATAATTTTCACTCCGTGTAATTCCAATGGCGAATTTTCCACTCTCGCCTCCGGCGGTAAAGTTTTTCTGTCCACCAATCAGGAATCGTTTCTCCCTTGTCCACTCTCTTTTACTCTAGGCTCTCTAGGCGAGGTGATCCTAGCTTGGCTGCCGTGCTCGCCAGATCTTGCATGTCTGGATTTCTTTTTGTGGGGACAACTGGAGGCTCTTATGTATTAGACTTCCATTGAATCTGCAGAAGAACTGGTAGCAGAGCTTTCGGCCGCTGCAGAGAAAGTTCCTGATATGCCTGGTGTGTTTGAGAATGTTCGTCTACCTTTTCTTTACCGTTGTACTGCGTGCATTGCCGCTGCCGGCCACTGTTTTGAACACTTATTGTAATCACATGCCATTTAATTTGCTTTTATAACTTAACTTCATCATTCTTTGTGTGCTTTTGCCTCATATAAGAACATAAACTTTGACGCCCTCTAGCGGTTTTACGTTTTGTTTTCGACCATGCATTCTTTGATAAAAATTGTTTGCTTGGGTGTGTACTATCACTTTCTAAAATTTTGCCCATCTTTTTAGAATCATCCTGTATATGGGTGATTCTCACGAAATATGACAACTTACAGTCTTTTGCTTCAAGATCTAATACTATACTACTAAAAAACTTTTTTTTAAAATTTTAATAAATAGAATTGCTGTTAGCATTTAAAAATGACCTTGTACTAGCATTTACAGTTTTGTATATTTAAAAAGTTTAATTGAATTTCAAAATCTCATTTTCCTGGTACGTCACAAACAATCTATCCCATAATAACTAGCTTCAAAACTTCCCATAAATTTATCAATATCTAATTTTTTTTATCTCAACCGTTGTAAGCATTTCTAGAATCTATGCAGAGGGTATTATTTACAAAAACTTAGTTGAAAGTAATTTTTTCTGTCAATAATTTGTTTGTCACAAGAAAATCTGTCATTCTCCAGGCTACTTTTATTTATTGATTTATAACCAAAATAGATAGCACCAGCAATCAATATATTATGTTGATATATAGATTAGAATACCATCCTATCTGAACATGTCTTATTGCATGAATAAAGAACCAACTTTCTGGTTCAAAGCCTATTTCAAGTAATTTTTCAAGGTGAGTAGGTTTTTATGTTGTCATTTTCCTGTCTTCTTGAAATCAATAATAACATAAACTACATGGATTTACCTGAGTTATTTCAAGAAATCCTGCTGTTTTCTGCGGAATGTAAACATTTCAGACCGAAATGTTAAATTAAAGTTAAATGTTATATAATGGCAAATTGTCATTATCCGGGCTGTCATTTTCCCGGCTTATGAATGCTAGGACATTAAAACAGTTAAAACAAAATTTTTTAAACAGTTGAATGTAAAGAGAGAAAGCAAATATTTATCTAATACCAAGTTTATGTAAGATTGTAATATGCTGGAATGTAATCAAAATTTAATTCTGTGTATATCAGCAACAAAAACATTTTTGATTCTTTCTACAGTAGATAAAAGAATTAATTTAAGCAATTCATGGTCCCTCTAACTCAAAGGCTTAAGTTGAGTTACTTACTATTAGCTTAAAATGACAGTGTTTTTTTTTAAACTTCTAGAATAATATTTCATTTTCCTGGCATTCAAAATTTGGTGAATTTCTATTTTATTTCTTTTCTTGAGTAAATGTCAATAAACTACACTGCTGTCTGTAAGATCTTAATAAATGTAACTTAATAATTAAACAAAAAAATTAGATTATTTTGAAGATTTTAAATTTAAAGAAATTTTTTTTCCAAAGAATCACCCATAAGCCAATTTGTTATTCAAAACCATTTTGAATATAGGTGTATATTTAGTTCTCCAGGAAAATACGTATCCTTANATATTTATATATTCTTTGTTAATTTATATAATTTTTTCATGTGCAAATCCATTTCGGGCAAATCCGTGGTTTAAATTATATGCAAAACAGGCAATTCATGTTTCTATTTTCTATTTTTTTCTTAAATAAAAATTTTTATTTTCTAAAATTATTTATGGTCAACTTCTTTAAATTATCCAGTATACTATTACCTTGCGCAAATCCATTTCGAGCCCATCCTTGGTAACTAACAAATCAAACGCACTTTTGAATGCAAGCAATGCAGTAAGAAAGGCACTTTAAAACAAAACTCCTCTACTTACGCTCAATCTGCGCTTTTGTTTTCATATTTTGCAATCTGGCAATCTTGTTACGAAAATCTTTTTTTAAATCATTCTTGAAAAATTTCCCGTTCTTGTAAGTACATTTGAATTCGGTACTCGCTTTATTGGTTATGTTTTATTCTGTTTTTTCTTTTTCTTTTTATCTTATTTTATTTTCTGTTTTTACGTGCTACATTTTTATTTATTGTGTTCTATTTTATTTGTTGTATTTTTTGTAAAAATACAACAAACACTCAACAAACAACAATACAACAAACACTCTTTTTTGCAGGTATAATCGTGTGGGCTGATGAAAAGATTACATCTTTTATTTTCCGGATTTTTCAAAAAAATATTATCCTTTTTTTCCCAGTTGTTTGTTATTTTTTTAGTATTATTTTCCGTCCCTCCCTCCCCCTCCTTTTTTTCATATGTCTGTAATTTTCCATTGTTTTATCATTATTTATAAACTCAATAACACAATTTGCTTTTAACACCGATCAATTACCGGTTTGCTAACCGATAAATAACAATAACATAATTTTTTTGGTAAATAAAGCACAAGCAAAAGCAAATAATATTACGTACCTACATAATTACTGATGTTCCAAATACCGTAAAAAAGTCCTCTGCGAAAACCATCGTACCAGTTATTTGTACAAGCCAGAAGAATTGGCCAAGCCATTGACTGAAAAATGGCAAAATTAGCCATTACTGTACCAAAGTATTCGTAACTAGCAATATTCCATTTTTCAGCTAGTCCCAAAAATATAGCAAAACTTCCGGTCAGAAAACATCCAGCAGAAAGAAAATATCTTGGATTGATCATATCAGCAATAATACCACTTCCATATGAGGTTACCTAATAAACAGATATGACACTAACATACTAATAAATGAAGTGTTAAATAAACAATCTCAATAAACTGAATCGGAACTGATACCGCTTCCATATCAAGTTTCCTAATAAACACATATGACACTAGCATACTAATAACCGAAGTGTTAAATAAACAATCTTAAAAAACTGAACCAGAAAAATTTACTTGATTAATTACTTCATTGGCTTAGAAAAAAATATGAGATCGTAACAAAAGTCGACATGTTTCAAGCGCTTAGAAACAGGAGCCCATTCTCAGGATTTCCAGAAGTGAATGAAGAAATCAAACGTAAATTGCGAAATAAAACATTAACGAAAAATAGAAAATAAAGATGGAATAGCTGTGGTTGTTCAAAGGACAGAGTAAGGAGTTGGATTTAAGCGGTCCAGGCAAATATGCTCATACGCAGAGAAATTTGATGTCTCGCCGTTACGAAAGAACTCGCAAAGTATTTGAGGCCAAGCAGAAGGTGGACTCTCAGGCACAAGGCCCCGAGCAACGCTCGAAAAGGAGCACCACAAGTCGCGCCGGATGGCAAAGGAGGCAAGGAAGGGAAACACACTGCGCGATGAGGCCGGGTGGAAGCGGAGACGTCGAGTCTCGGCACCAGCCTGGATCGACGGCAGTCGAACGGCCACCAGGCCAGGTTAAATTACTAAAATCAATTTAAAACACGTTTCAAAAATACAAAATGTTGAGCGAAGCTCAAAATTGATATTACATGAGTCGCAGGAGTATGCCCTAAGGCTTACAAATCAGGAGTAGGTGGCCTAAGTTCTGTATCTCGTTCGTTTCTGAATCATGGACAGAGGACAGAGTAATCGCCTCCCAATGCGAAGATCCAGGTTTAAATCCCAGTGATGGATGATTAATACGAATTCTGCTCTCGGCCCGCACTTACCACACGTAATTTATTATTAATGGTAGACGGATGACGTAAACTATCATTAATGGTAGACGGATCATGGGTTAGAATGCACAATGGGCTATTGGCGGCGGTCTGGGAAACATCCCGGAGGATGATCCGAAGACATGCCATCACAATTCTGATCCTCTGCGGAGGGGATGGCACCCCCGCTTCGGTAGCCCGACGACCTGCGCGCGAAGTCGAGCACTTTACGGTAGCACAGTTTAACGAGGACCAATACCGCACACCCTCGGTCCCTACGCAGACTGATCCAAGTGGTCACCCACCCGCACACTGACAGCTGTCAGTGATGCTTGACTTCGGTGATCTGCTGGGAATCGTGTCTTAACGATCAGTCCACTGTGGGACAGGCGTTTCTTTGAAGTCTTACTTCGTGTGTTTGGTGGTTCATTATTTTTCAGGGCTTTTCTGGTAATGATTTTCTTATTTGTCTATCCATTATTGGGCCTCGGGGTACTGTCAGTTTTGGTTTTTCCACTGACAACAGAAAGGCTCCTGTCTGTTTGTAGACAGTGTGTCCCCTGAAGAAGTTCTGTCTTACAAACACACATAGATTCTATTTTATTTATTTTTCCTGCTTTAATGCTTGTTTGAATTTCGAAATTAAAATGAAGCAAGCTTGGTTTTAGCTACTTTAGGCGCTTTTCCATTTTGATTTAATGTTTTAATAATTAATTTATTCCTTTGTCTCTTTTTTGCTTTTGTAATATGTAATAGTTTAAAAACATTTATTAGTTTTTAATTTGAAGTATGACTACTTTACCGTACCGAAACCTAAGAGGACGCTATACTGCGGAAGAATCCCTTAATGACAAATTCTCCTCCACCTGCATGAGTAATTTAAAAAAAATTTTAAGTTTAGAGAAAAGTGATTTCATGTGAAATGAGAAAAGAACGAAGTTTCGAATGCTGAAAAATAATTTAAAAATGAAAACAAATCATGGTGGCATAACTCAGGATTAGGCAATGGAAAAATAATCCTGCAGTATTTTGCTTGCATTTTGGTATTTTGAAAATATTTTTTCAGTATTTCAAAGATAGTGGTTTACTCTAGGTTTACCTGAACTACACTTTTCTGTAAACTTTTATAAAGTACATATGGAGGTGGGGGCAGAATTTGCCATTCAATGTTTCTACCGTGATATAGAGTCCTCTTAACTATTTGAAGATCAAAAGGGAAGAACGGTTTTAAGTTCGTTTTTCGCAAGGAATGACGAATGGATCACCATCTGTTGCATTCTGAGGATTTCTAAGTTTTGACAAATCAATAACGTGGAAAAATGGTTCTCCCTGAGAGTTGTTACACAGTGATGATAGGCCGCACGGAAGAAACCATCTTCTGTCCACGCTTATACAAAGAGAATAAAGAAAAGCATAGTGAAGTAGTCGACAGGGAGTTTAAGCATTGATTGGAGGGAAATTTCGAGGAAACGCTTCCTTGCCCAATTTTCAGTTGTTGTTATTTTAATAACATAAAAAAACTGAAAATTTTGTCGTGAAATTTTTGGGGGATGTAAATAAAGACTTGTAATAATCGTGTATGTTCTTATTTTTACGATTTCAATCGAATGCTCACTCTTGAAAATTCTCAAACCTTGAAAATCGGTTTTCTCAAAAGCAGCGTTCGTGGACATAAGCCGTTCTTCCCCCTTGATCTTCATTTATGAACTTATAAAAAAATTGTTCAAAATGTAACTTACTCCACGAATAAGAAGAAACCCTGTTAATAGATTTCCCATCATATGCTCTACACTACGATCTGCATTTTTCCACCATCCACCTGAACACCAATTAGGGATGTAAGAGTAATTTGAATATGAAACTGCGGACAAATTGCATTCTACAGTTACTTTCATCTGCACTAGTGTTAAAGGCTTGCGAGATGCGGCAAAGCAGATGTGTACTGTGAAAGTTAGACATATTGTCAATATGCCGATGAAGCGATTCCTTCGGATCCTGTCTCGTGGTAAATAAGGTGCCAAAAGTCGAATGCACGGAGGCATACCACCAATCTCTTCTTTTTCCATTTGGAGCCAACAATGTCTAGTGTACATTAATAAAATAAAGAATAAAAGTGTACATTTCAGAAATAGCAATACAAACAAAAAATTAATCAATTGTAGAAGGTTTGTTGAGTATTGGAATAGATAAAGGAGAAAATAATGCAAAAACATACAGACACTATGAACGAACCTCAACTCCAAGGACTGGAGAAAATCGATTCTCCATTTTGTGCCTATAAAATGATTATTTAGAGAATTAAGCAATTTTATGTATTTTAGCTCATTTTCCTTAATTTTTATTACGTTTACTTTTTGTTTAACTTGTTTGTGTCGTGCAATAAGAATACTAAAAAAAATTGGAGTGGCATAAACAAACTCAGAATTTTTGAAAGTATGTATAAAAATTAAAACTGTTATGATTGCTCAAATGATAAGTCTGTGACAGCTTCAGAAATACAGTAACGATAGCAGTGTTAACATTTAGGAAGGTTGGGAATATAAAGGAAGGTTGGGAGAATGCCCGAAAGTTTGCGTGTAGATTAACCGATTCGCATGAGAGCATTTAAAGTAAATATAAAGTCCTACTAAAGATGGATGTGCCTAGAACAGAACAACTCGCATAGGAGTAGTGCGAATTTCAGCTACCCAAGGTAATTTCCAAGTTCCCATGCTCATAAAATGCTGCACAGATATCATGAATCGTAACTCTATGATTACCTTAAAATTTGCATTAACAGCATTACTGAACTAATAGAAATTATAGTGTTTGCTTGCTCTGATCTTGGTACATTTATTGATATTTATCTTGCACGAAAACTTTTGCATCATTTGCTCATAACTGTTTGTCGTAGATAGTGCTCGTCATTAACAATTCCTTTTATAAATATCAACAACAGCGTTATGCTCACATTCTAGGACTAAAAAGTCGTACAATTACGTGATCTAGACATACCCATCTTTCGCACGACTTAATCACTTAAAATATTCCCTTGGGAACCATTTATTCAATTGTAGGCTATCCATGTTTTCTTGTTGCTTTCATTAATTATCCCGAAATGTGATGCATCATTGCTGTTTTGTCCATCATTGCTTTAAATATGTTTTCGCAACAACACACTTCTGTTTTTTGAATGAGTGCCACGAATCGCAATTACTCTGAAATATAAAATGCCATTGCTGTAGAAATTTTAATTTTCGGTTAAAAAGACATAGCAACATGGGCCCCCAGCATTTTCATTATTTTTCCTCTTTTCTTATATTGCTCTGGTAGCGCTTCGCGCTCCCGTGCCACAAGTCCTGGGTTCGATCCTCGGGCCGGGCAAGGTTGACTCAACCTTTCATCCCTTCAGTGGGTCGATTAATGAGTACCAAGCATGCTTGGGAACTAAACACTGGGCGTTTCGCGCTAGGTTGATCACCTAACCGGAACATCTGCTCCTGCACCCCAGAACCCAAGGTCAAGAAAACTGAGATAAGCACAGAAGGCATTGGCCCTCTTTACGCTGTTGCGCCACTGAGTTTTTTTACTTTTTTTTAGAGGTTTTTCTTATATTGCTCTAAATCCTTAAATCTTTCTCGAGTTAATATCGGAATTTTCTATGGAGAATATTAATTAATTTTTGGCAAAAAAGATATAGCCACATGGGCTCGCAACACTTTTATTAATTGCCCGCCTAAGGAAGGCAGTTCGTTCAATGAGGTGACTTAACGCCTTACGACTCTGCATTCACGCTAGTAATGTTGTGGGTGAAAGTTATCGACAGTGTCAACCTTTGTCTATAAAAAGGAACCCCAACACAGAGTTAACATGCCTTATATACTAGTGAAATGGAATTGAAAAATCGTAGTGGTAGAACCGCTACAGTTCTCCCCCACCAGAATTTTATCTGTGATAGAATTTGATGAACGGATATACCTAGTTGTTTAATTGCTATTTTGTGAGGAGCAATCAGGAGAGTTGTATTAAAATCACCGGACTTTGAGTGCTGATCTAGAGATCTATAAATAAGTTTTCAGTCGTGGTTGCACTTGTGTTGACAATACTACTAGTGTGTATATAGGCCGACGTTGTGTGTGATCGAGACTGAGTAGCAATACCGTGATTAGGACAATGACGGAGTCACAAATAACAAGTCAACTGTTCAAAACGGACCATCTATCGAAGTAGGCGAGTTCAGATCATGACCGCAGGTCGCCAATGTGGGGGCTGGTGTTATCGACAATGTCAACCTTCATCTATGAAAAGGTACCCCAACATACTAATAAGTTAGTTAACATGTCTTACATACTAGTGAATAGGAATTGAATAATTGTATTGGTAGAAACGCTACAATGTCTTTGACGACGTTGCTCTGAATCTTTAAATTTTTCACGAATTCATGTCGAAAGTTTCAATAGATAAAATTCCTATCAAACCGAAACTGAAGCATTAGATTACTTAATATTTGGCACTGCAACAATTTTACGAGAAATTCCTCTCGCTTTTCTAAACATACGAACATACGACTTCCACTTTATCTGCAACAAAATAGCAATACAAGGATTTACTATAAACAAAGATTTTAAAAATTCATTATTATTCTTTTCTGTGTTATGTTAAAATTGCTTTAAGCTATTAGCATAAAAATAATTAACTTGTATTTCTTGTTTTCACTTAGCAAGTTCATGAATCCTCAGTACTAGAACTTTCAAAAACACTTAGCAGAACTTTAGGAGACTTTATATTTAGGTGAGTAATACTACTCATAAATTAATAATAAGGCATTAGTGCAAAAATACTAGTCATTTATCACAATTATTAAAAATTAGAACTATGCAAAATATAAATATAAAAATTGGTTAAAGAGTAGAATTGGGGGGCTCTTTAATATTTGGCGATATGAAAGCATGTCTATGAATATAAATATGAAAATAAACAACAACTAAAAAACAATCACATAACTCAACATTTTCTCAGGGAAATCTGTAATTGAACTGACATTAAAAACAATTGTACAAAAAGAAAAACTTACAAAATGTTTCAAATAGCTTAAAGTTAAAATGTATTTAACGAATGTCTTTAAAGTACTTAACCTTTTTTAAGGTTAATTTAACAATACTGTAGCTTTTTTCTGTAAAGTTGTTTACAAAATAAGCTCTTGAGACGGTTTTGAGATCATGGTCATAAATAAATAAAATCTTGCTGAAATCTGAAAAATAAAATTGTGCTTATTATAACCCGGTACATTAATAACTTTTACTAGATTTCATAGCAAGCGTAAGGTTGGGTTCACAGTAAGAGCCGACGTCAACGTCTCGGCTTACAGCGTCCTCTGCGTAAGAGCATAGAGTAGATTTATAAAAAAATTTTGTCGAGAGCACGTGCGCAGAGGATGCAAGAAGCTGAGAAACTGCATAGTGAATCTGATAAAATAAAATGGTAAAAAATATATAAACAAATTTATTTTTATATTACTGTCACACAACGTTACCACACTATTGATTTATTTTTAAAAATTAGAACACATAAAAAAATACTTAGTAATTGACAGTGTCCACTTTAATGTTTCAGCATGCCAGCTAGTGAAAAAGGGTGTAAGACACCGTGGTGGCGTTCGTTCAGTATTTCTGACAAAGACATTGCACGGTGTGCATCAATTTAAACAATTAATTGCGGCCACAGTGTGATACGTCTAACAGAAAATCCATTTGAATACCTTCAACTAAGATTGAATCATTCAGAATGAGAAAGATCGTCCAAGTGAATGTGGCTGAGATTATCTCAAAAAAAATTTCGCGAGAGGAAAGAACTTCAAACGACAATAACAGCTGTCCGAGGGTTCGGTATAGATCATCTTACAGGCAACAAATCACATGACAACAGACTACTGGACCTCCTATATTTGCTATTATCAAGGCCAGAACGATGCACATGGGTGGTTGATTGGTATGGTGTGTGCTATTAACGCCAGCTAATCGGAGGCTGAGGTACCGAGTACCGTTCTGGGGTACCGAGTACACCAGATCTTGAAAGATAAGGTTTGGGGTCTAGTATTCTGTACAAATGATAGGAAATTTAAGCCTATCTATGATTCTGGGAGCGTATTCATCTGAATAGAATGGTTCAATAAAGTTCCTTCTTATCCTTTGAATTTCATTTTGTTCAGTTTTGTGTACTTTTTCCCAGCGCCCGACGTTACAATAAAAAACTCGCCTCTTTAACTTTTTACGCCTCGTCAGAGAATATTTCTCACAAAAGCAAAAAAGATTTCTATTCTCGCGCTTTCAAAGAAAGGCTTTAATAATCTGGCTATGCGCTTGAAGCATGTCAACTTTTATGTTATTTCTTATTTGTTTATTTCAGAAGGGGTTTCTTTATACTTGATTGAAAACTCAATAAGTTTTCAATCAAGTAAAACCGATTAGGAGTTAGGCAGAAATGAAAAGTTCAAAACAAACAGACATTATCCTCTATTATGGTGAAAAACTGTGGGCAACTGCACCTTTTATATGAAAATAAAAAATTGTTGAATCTATATGGAGTTTTTATTTCAAGACAGAAACTTTCCAAAGCGTCCTCGTATTTGAAATAAATCTCTTGATAAAAAAAATTCGTAACCAATTCTAAAAACTTTAAAAAACCCTAATTTAATATTGTAAATTCCACTTTTTCAAAAATTTCCCCATCAAGAAATAAGAAAACACACCTGTCTAATTTCTCATGCGTTGAACTAAATATATTTCATATTTCCCCATTATCTATTTCTTCTACAATCAAAGGATTCAATTTTAATCTCCTTCGAATAAAACAACAGACACAATCAGTTTTCTATAAGAAAATAGTTTATTCATTACAAGAGTAGGAAAAGATTTTCAACAATCAACATGTTATGAAATGATAAATAAACAATTTGTGATATAAACTATAAAAGATTTTATAATTTGAAGCAGAAGTCAAAAAATATCCAACTTTTTCAATACTAATTAAAAAAAGCTGAGTCATTTTGATTTTTAGAATCTTGCTTTAAAAATATTAATTTCCTGAAAGGCGGAATGAATAAGAATGAATATCAGGGAAAATCTATCATTTTTGTTCTATTTTCTTTGCTTTTTTAGAGAAAAAAAAATACTATGCTTAGCAATGAGTGTGAAGATGTGTTAATGGTATGTAAAGATTTTATATTTTAAAAAAATTTCTGAAAAAGAAAAAAAAAATTGCGGTCAAAAACATAAATTTTCATTTTTCTAAAAGTGTATATACAAAAACAAATTTTAGTCTTAAAAAAATATAAAGCAAATGTAAAGTAAAACAAAAGTGTCAAAATTAAAATAATCAAATAATAAAAATGTCAAATTTTAAATACGTCAAAAGTAAAATAAAATTATATATAATGACATATAACATTCAAGTCTGCAGAAATTTAACAGAAAACCTTAATTTTAATTATTAAAAAACAGATTTTCAATTTTCAGACTAATATTTAGGTTACTCAAGTAGATTCTGGAGGTAAAATTTAATTATGATTTTTATTACTCTTACTTTACATTTTTGAGCTTGAAGATTAAAATTTGTTTTATTTTTAATTTAAGCTGCTTTGAAAATTTTTAAAATTTACATCTTTGATCACAAAAAAAAACTTAAGACTAAATTGAGAGAGTCCAAAATATTTTAAAACTTGGCTAAGAAAAGCATGTTTTTTATCACATCTCAAATGGAAAACAATCACAGACAACATTTACAAAATTAGCTTTTGAGTAACGCTTGAACTTTCTCAGCAATAAGGGCAGCGTATAACAATAGCGTCTTGAATCTTGATACATATATTCAATTTTCATTTTTTATATATATATTCAATACAAACTTTATTTTTTCACTGATTCTTAAAGTTTGTTTTGAGGTTCTAAGGTCGAAAAAAAAGTTCTCTTATATAAAGCAAAATCGCACAGTGCAATATTTCAATGAAATGCAAACAATCGCACCAAAATATATACCTGACATATCCATTTAAATTCGTAATAATGCGTTAGGGGGAAAAAGCGTGTACGGCAATAACTACAATTATTATGAATTTGAGCAAATGTATACCACTGTCATTATTATAGATAGATAAACTTGCAACAAAAATTCGTTAATTCTTTTCTTGGAATTTTAATTTGCACGTCATTTTAAAAATTCGGCGATGAAAGCAAACGTCAATGCAAAAATACATTTGTAACTTCATAGTGTAAATAAACACTAGAGTATGAAAACTAAAACTTTTCTGAGTAGAAAACTTTTCAGAGATAGAAACCTAAATATAAAACTTGCAAAAAAAATAATAACTTTAAAATCAATATCTGTTCACAAATAACGCTTAAAAGGCAATTAGAAACAAATCTTAATAACGTCGTTTAAGATACAACAAACTAAAATTATTAAAATAAATTGTACTTTCTTGTATTTGAAAATAAATTGTAATTCTTAAAACGCTATTAAACTTAACTCGTATTAAAAACAATGATATAAAATATTTTCAGTACACACTGCGTATTTGTTTACAAAATAATAACAAATCACGATTATGAGCGAACATAATCTCTTTGCAATCAATTTATATATAGCAGGGGTGATTGTGAGCCCAACTCAAAAATCCTGAAAATTTCTCCAATAAAATCATTAATTACGTATTGCAAAAAATTAACGTCTTTATAAATTTAAATCATTGATATTTTCAAAACATGAAATTCTAAATAAATTATATGCAGCATAATTTAAATGAATAATTATGCATACATTTACTTTTATCCCTAATCACATTTATTATTCTACTAGAAAAAATATTTCCAAATGAAAGAGATGCCAAGTACAAATTCGAGTTCTATTATTTCTAAATAAAACATAAATGTTTTTTAATACATAAATGTGATCAATAATTTCTTGAAACTTTTGGACCTCGGATTTCCGGAAACTTCCGGATCGCGTTTACCGAAAAATCCGAATTTTTTCCGGAGCACAATCATCTCTGATATAGAGAGAAGGATACATTTTAAAACTATTTTAATAAACAAGTTTTAAAAAGAAAAATTCAATATTTTTTAGATATTTCAGGACGTAATTATATGCAAATTTTTAGCCCTAGCACACTAATTTTGAACAGTGGCTGAAAAACAAAGACAAAAAGCTAATCTTTCAGCTTTGATCAAGCAATGATCACTGAAAATGATCAATTTTGAATTTATTACAAGCAAATAAAGCATAAGCACCAGCATTATTAGTCTGTGGTTAAGCATTTAAAATAAACTAATATTTAAGGATAGGCTTAAGGATCCCTTCAAAACTTTAAAAGTGGAGCAATTATTTAATTTTTTAAGCAATAAAACTAAATATTTGCATTAAAATCAAGGGACTACTATAGTGAAACTTTTCTAGGAGCCAGCATGTTTTGTTATGAAAATATCGTAATAGGTTTTTGCTCTCATATTTTTTAATATTAGGAGCCAGCTACGCTTGTTTAATCTCCATGGCGATCAGGTACCCCAAATTAAAGTCGAAGAATTTTTCCAAATAGCAAGCTGAGAAGATTTGAAAGATTAAATGCACACTATACATCCTTAAATTTGATACAAAGAAGTATAAAATAAACATTACAATTACTTCATTTTCAACTAATGTAGAAGCCATGGATGAAACTAAACCAGAAAGAGAAAAATGCATCGTAATGCTCGAAATGAGTGGATAGAATGTTCAATATCGAGTTTATATTGTTGTACAGTTCTTTGCTTTCACTTAATTGCAACATAGAAAAATAAATTCGATCTTTAATTTCTATTTTTTATATAATTACAACATTAAAGAAAAAACAACAGTATAAGGTTTCTCGTAATGACCACCTTTAATGTAAATTTTTAGACTCCTTATTTAAAATGACGAAAAAAATGCACTTATTAGGGGTGAGAAACACCTCCAAGTTGCATGGGACAATGCAAAATGACTCTGGGTATTTTCACTCCGCCTTTCCCACTGGTGATTCGTCAGATTTCGATAGCATTTTTCCACCTTACTTATCAAATTTTCGACCCCTAATGTGTATGTTATGGTAAAAAAAAACCGAAGTTAAATTCTGAGTTTTATCGGTAAAACCTAGTTTTTACCAAAGTGACTTGGTTCAAGGTATGCTTTGTTATGATTCCATTTCCACCTTTTTACCAAATAGTTGCGGTAAAAGAGTAACCAAGCCACTTTGGAAAACTTGGCTTCTACCCAGTGGCTTGACAAAATTCAGAAGTAAGCTTTAATATGATTTCATTTCGGCCAACCATTT